TATAGGCTGTTGAACGTGAAATGCATGGTCGTGATGGCCAGACAAGAGCTGTAACAAGAAATGGYGAAGAGCTGTTAGAGTCAGTTCCATATGCATCAGACACCATTCAGAACAGGCTTGATATCATTAGGAACAAATGGGAAAGACTACGAGACAATTCYGGTTACCGCAAGAAGAAGCTCAAAGAGAATGTCAAACTTCAGCAGTTTATTGCAGAGTATAACGACATTGAATCATGGCTTGACATGACCAAGAGAGTTGTTGAGAATGATGATCTTGGTTATGATGAACATAGTGCTGAGGCTTTGATTAAGAAACACCAGGTATGAACATACAATATATTGATGTTAGATCAATTATATTATTGAAATGCTAAAATTACTGAATGAAAAGTATTAATACATATTTCTGTGTTTGTTTCTAGGCTGTTGAAGAGAACATTGAAGCTTATGCTTCAGAAATCCAGGCTCTACACAGCCAAGTAGATACTCTTGGTGATGAGGTAATGGTGATTATATTATCTTATCATAAATATCATTGTTTAAATTCAGTCTTATTCTACAAGGCCACTTTAGGCCTCCTATACCTTCCTGCAATTAAACCTTAACTTCATTATTGTAATTATTATTTCAGGACAAGTCCTCACCTGAAGTTGTAGAGAGATGTAACAAGTATGTAATATAGACACCTTTATCAAATACAAACACATCAATCTTATAGTGTTTTATGTATTTCTTTAGTGTTGATCAGAGATATGATGAACTCTTGAAACTAGCTGCTATCCGTCGTCAGAAGTTACAAGATGCCCTTTCCTTGCACCAGCTGAACAGAGAAGCAAACATTGTAGAGTCATGGATTGATGAAAAGGTGCTTAATATAATATTTTAAAATGATGCTGACGCCACTTAAAGCCAGCTAAAGATAAGCTAAAGATAAGCCAGCTAAAGATAAATGTAGAATTCAGATGCTTCCTAAATAAAATTGTTGTATTGTAGGGTGGTATATAAATATGTGGTTTTGTTTAGGAAAATCGTCTCGATACAGCACTCACTGTAGAGAAAGGCATGGACTTGGAAGAGTGTCAAATTATCCAGCAAAGATTTGAAGGGTTTCAACAGGAACTGGATGCTAATGAACGTCGTGTTGAATTGGTCAATGACCTTGGCAGTAAACTTATTGACAAAGGTCATATCAATTCAGACCAGATTAGGGAGACTACAGATAGACTCAACACCAGGTACTAATAACTACTGGAAAATGGTAGAATACTAATACCAAAAATAATGAAACATGAGTTTTTACACCATTTGCATCTGTGTGTTTTTAGATGGTCCAATTTGCGTAATGCTGCCGACCTCAAGAAAGCTAAACTTGACAAGGCTCTCAGACTTCAACAGTTCTATGCAGAGACAACTGAAACAAAGGCAAGAACTCTATCTCTGGGTTTCATTTATTCGCTTATAATTTCCTTCATTTTTTCAATCCATTCATTCATTTGTTTATTAATTAATCCATCCATCCATTAACAATATAATCTACATACATGTATTTACTGCACCCAGTTCTTGCAGGAGTCATTTTAGTGCAATTAYAAACCTCTGTTATATTGACTTTTATCTGTAAAAAATTGATTGTTCATTTGTAATATTCAGATTTGGATCAGTGAGAAGTCAAGCCTTCTGATCACAGAAGAAGATGTGACAAATATGAAAGACTTGTCAACTGTGATGATGCTGCAAAGAAGGCTCAATAACATCCAACGTGATCTTCCTGCACTGGAGGACAAGGTATACTTGAGCACCAATAGTATTATTACATGCTTTTATATTGATTTAAAGTCCATAATCAACCAAAAACGACTTGAGGAAATTTTTAAGAACTCGGCCATCTATTCTCATGGTCAGAATTCAATTTGAAGCATTTAATACTGTCTCTGGAAAAAAAACACATTTTTACACTAAAATTTTGTCTGTTGTTGTTTGAAATTCTAGTTAAATTCATCATGTTTGCTTGTTCCATCTTGCTCRTTCTTGATACATAACTGATTTATATTTACTTTGTAGTGCACATCACTTGAACAAGATGCTGAGCAGCTTTGCTCTGAATATCAAGGGGTAAGAACTTTCATTGAAATGATAAGAATTTGATGCATTAGACTACACAATTACAAATATATACAGAAACTATGTAATATTACTTTGAATGCTTTATGAATTGTTCACTCAAATTATATGTTGTATCTGCAGGAGCCAGAGGAGCAAATTGTTCAAGAAAAGATGACAGTTGTCAGCTCAGGCTGGATGGACCTCAAAGATAATGTAAGTCAAGCACAGAAATTTATAAAAATTTATTCATGTTATCTCAAGGTGATGAATACATGTTTTCTTTTCTTCAGGTCAAGAAACGTGATGAAGCTCTAGCCGAGTCAGGAGAATTACAGAGATTTGTGAAAGACCTTGACGACTTCCAAGTGTGGTGCGTTTTGATARTCATTATTGTCATGATTCTTAGTGTGTTCTTCTTGTAAGACATGATTTTTTTTGGATGAATAATTTTCAGGTTGAGAAATACTCATAACGATGTGGCTTCTGAGGAAATTCCATTGAGTCTAACTGAAGCTGAGAGAATGCTAAAAGAACATGAAGACATCAAGGTTCCTGACGATTTCTCTTCATTTCTTTATTCTTTCATTCATTTATCTCTTTCACTCCCCTTCTACCATTCTTCTTCCTGCTTTTCCATCGTTTGGTTTTGTTTGTTCTTTCTTCCTCTGCCTTCTATTAAATTATATTATTTATGCTTTTGTATATAGGATGATATTGATTCACATCAACCCGACTTTGAGAAGCTGATTGAAGAAGGACCAAAATGGGTGCAAGACGAGTCYGAATTGCACCAGCAATCTCTGAAAGAACAATTGGATCAACTTGAGAGTGGATGGAAAGACCTTCTTGTTTTATGGGAGAAGAGAAAGAGACAGCTTATTCAAGCACTCAACCATCAGGTWAGTCAGTTAAAATGTTTATATTTTTAAGAGTTCAAGTACATGACATTTAAGAATATTTTCCAGTCCTTTGGTTATTTTAACTAAGTGCATGGTTTGTTTGTTGTTGTTTTTAGCTGTTTATCCGGGATTCAAAACAATGCGAAGCCTTACTTGGACAGCAAGAGCTCTTCCTTTCCAAGGAAGAAAATGGGGTATGTATAACAACAATAACRTAATAACAACAGCCTTACTACCAACAGTATTTGGATTACTATTTCAGTTTACAGTACAAGAATGACAGGGAGATTGTATGACATAAATACTTTTGTAATATTGACTKACCTTTTTCCTTTAGGCCACAGTGGAGGCTGTCCAAGAGCTTATCAAAAAACACGAGGAATTTTCCAAACGAATGGATGCYCAGGATGAAAAGATTAACCAAATGATTCAGTATGCACAACGYTTRGCCAATGAAGGGCATTATGCACAAGACAAGATCACTGAGAAAGCTCAAAGTCTTCATGAAAGGTAATRAAMTTAAATTCGTGGTATATTTTGTTTCACGGTTCTATGAAAACCATTCAATTCGACTGATGTTTTAACTCRGTAATAGTTACAATAGTGACTTACAAAATGTATTTGTGTATCAGACGAAATGCCAACCGGCAAAAGATGGAAGCTGCCCTTCAGAGGCTTAGAGATGCTCTGGCTYTGCAACAATTCATCCAGGATGCTGAAGATGTATGTGTTAATTATTATTTCATCCCGAGTTCTTGTTTCTATTGTTGACTTGGTGACTTTGTTATTAGATGTACGACTGGCTGAAAGAGAAGCATCAAATCGCTTCAGAGGAGACTTACAGAGATCTAAGTAACATTGGTGGTAAAGTGATGAAACACAAGGCATTTGAAGCTGAATTGATGGCCAACAAGGAACGTCTGGATCAAATCAGTGATGTAAGACACTAGCAGTACTATCCTTTTTGATTTTTTTCCTCGTTAGATTTAATGCATAAAAGAAAGAACAGACAGCATTCGCGAATGCGCAGCGCAAGTAAATTTTGCCGGCGTGAATGAAAAGATGAAAGGGATGTGAAAACAGAATGCTAAATTGCAGTTATTATTTCTATTCTTCAGTCTGGCCGTGAAATAGCAAATGAAAAGCCAGAGAGCAAGCCCGAGATCGATGAGAGAATCGAGAAACTCAATCAAAAATGGCTTGAACTGGCCGAGGTRTCAAAGAACAAAGGAAACAAACTCGAAGAGGCTCAGAAACAAGAAGAATTCAACCAAGGTGTGCAGACGATGGGTGAATGGGTCAAAGAATTGGAAACAGTCATCATAACACAAGAAAAAGCTACAGATTTGACAACAGCAACACGTCTTTATCAGAAACACAAGGTAAGGAAACATGAACAATCAGTGTAAAAATGAATATAAAACCATTTGATGTGTAYGWTGATTTTATTTTTCTCTTCAGCTAATGGAGAAGGAAATTGCTGCCAAAAAAGCTCGTCTACAAGAACTAGGTACTCAAGCTGCTGACATGGTTGATGCTGGACATTTTGATCCAAACGCTGTGCAAGAAACTAGAATCATCCTTGAAGAGAAGTAAGCCTGTCTTTCCTAACGTCCGTTTGTCTCTTTCCTTAACTGCATTTTCTTGATGTAAATTGTTTTTATTTTCAAAAGATATGATGCTTTAGAAGCTCCTTTGTCAGAAAAAGCTGTAGAACTCGACCTCGCTATGCAGTTCTTCCAGTTYGATCGAGATGTTGATGATGAGAAGGTAAGTTGATTAAACTTCCTTTACTGGAAGGCACGAGAGCATGGATATATTATCATCGTTTTGAATCACTTGTCTCTATTCTTTGTAGACTTGGATCAAAGAGAAAGAGCCTCTTCTTCAATCAACCAACTACGGCAACAACTTATTCGAGGTCCAAAAGCTCAAGAAGAAACACCAAACCCTTTGCGCAGAGATCGACATCCACGAGGCTCACAAGAACCGCATTTGTCAACAAGGAGATGACTTGGYAGATGCTGACCACCCTCAGTCAGAAGACATTCGCAGGCGAGAAAAAGAGCTGCAAGATCGCTGGGATGACTTGAAAAAACAGTCTGAGGATTATAAATATCAATTGGAGTTATCGTTACAGGCAAAACAGGTAAGATTGGCCTKTGAATGTTGTTAATTATAAGCTTCATAACGAGGATAGTATCTTAAGCACTTTCTGAAATCACTTGCTTTGTTTGCAGTATTACTTCGATGCTGCCGAGGCTGAAGCATGGATGAGTGAACAAGAGTTAAATATGATGGGTGACGAGCGAGGCAAGGACGAGGCGAGTGCAAATGATATGTTGAAGAGACATGAAACTCTTGAGGCAGCCATTGCTGACTATGCAGAGACTGTGAACGACCTTGGTGAACACGCCAACATGTTGATWGAGAGTAACCACCCCGAAAGGTATTTTGTCCTTCTTTGTACATAGACTCACTCACTCACTCCAACCACTCACTCTCTCACTTACTTACTTGAGTCAACACGTTAAAATGAATTACAATAGGATAATAGACACTGATTTTTACGCTGTTCAAAGTGCAATCAATAAATCACAAGTTGTAATCGTATTTTTTTTAGCGAGACAATTAAGATTCGCCAGGCACAAGTGGACAAGCTCTATGCAGGATTGAAGGACTTGGCTGAAGAACGACGAGGAAAGCTCGACGAAACACTSAAACTATACCAACTGAACCGGGAAATTGATGATCTTGAGTTGTGGATAGCAGATAAGGAAGTTGTAGCAAGATCGCAGGATATTGGACAAGATCTAGCCCAAGTAGAGGTAAAYACAGAGTATCTTCATCAATGTTTTGTGATGATGGACAGGCTATGGGATCACGTGATCAGCTTCATGATTGTAGCGATGATGATGATGATGTTGATGAGAATAACCTTCAATACATCAGTGACAATCACCAATTCTTACCAACAGCTATTAATCGAGAAATTCGAAGACTTTGCTCGCGATACGACCCACGTGGGCACTGAACGTGTTGCTGCAACGAACGCGTTGTGTGATCAACTGATAGGAACTGGACACTCTGATGCCGCTACTATCGCTGAATGGAAAGATGGAATCAACGAATCGTGGGCTAATCTACTAGAACTGATCGAAACTCGCAAAAAGGTAACCGCCATGAGAACAATCCGTGCAAGAAAATGTTTCCATTGTACAAAATACAAAAATAGCAAAAAACCCCTCATACATTAAGCATAGACATTAAGTTATACGACCTTTCCCAATACAAATAACAACCTCTTGATGTTTATTAAAAATGTTTGATGTGTCTGGTAGATGCTTGAAGCTGCACGTGAACTCCATAAGTACTTCCATGACTGCAAAGAAGTCCTTGCTATGATCTACGAGAAGCAAAACCTCTTAACAGACGATCTTGGTCGTGACCGAGCCAGTGTGCGACACTTGAAAAGAAACCTACAGAGTTTTGAAGCTGACTTGGCTCCKCTTGGAAATGAGGTAAATAAAGGTTWAGCAGGGAAAAATGTCTTGATGCTCATTATTCATGAAGTTATACAGACTAGAACTGTGTGTCCATCGAATAATTCCCATTGTAGTTGAAAACTTTAAATTGTGGTTTTTGTCACCACTTTGGCAAATATTCACCGTTGGTGATTAATTGTTGTACTCCGATTTTCAATCATGTTTCGGACTCCATTTGKAAAGTACTCGGCGCGACGTCGCTAGTCAACACTGCATGTCGTGGCCGGCAATCGATATACTGTAAAGTCATTGCTATACTCTTTATAGGTTGCTGCTGTACAAGAAGAAGCCAGTCGTCTTCTAGGGTCATACGCAGGAGACAAGGCAAAAGAAATCCAAGCTAAAGAAAACGAAGTAATAGAAGCATGGAAAAACCTCCATCTCCGAGTTCGACGTCGMATGGAGAAACTCCACGACGCCGACGATTTGTACCGATTCCTGATGGCCGTCCAAGATCAGATGCTTTGGATGAACGACATGTTAAAGCATATCTTGACTTACGAGAAAGCAAAGTAAGCTGMCWCATTTCAATCCTTGCAACTAATTTGTGTCGAATTCATTGYAWAARWSWC